TTAAAATTTTAATTATAAGAATAAATTAATTGAAACTTTGGACCTATGATTGCACTTATGTCGGTCCAATTATGGACCATATACCATTATAAATATTATATACGTTATGTGTATATATATATATATATATAAGAGAAATGGAGACCGTGACTTGTTACATTACTTGTCCCATGCCTAAAACTCAATGGGTTTCAAATGCTTGTAAATAATTTATTTATTTATTTATTTATATTCAAAATAATTATCGAAATTTTTTTAAGAATTATTAATTAAATTATTGTATTATTTTAAAATAAAAATATTTTTCTTAATTTTTTTATATAATAAAAATAATTAATATTTTTATGTAATTAAAATAATAAATAAATAAATAAATAATGGGCTTTATTATAGGCCCAATTGGGGAGCCAAAAATTAGGCCGTAACGCATGCCAACAATCGTTGCGGACAACTGCACGTGAACACCACGTCTTGATTCTCCAATAAAGTTAAAGAATAAATATTTTTTTTTTTCAAACGCAATCATTGCGCGTGTCCCGCACTTTCCAAATTTGTACCACAATAATTATCTGCTTAAATGTTTTGAAGGTCCTCTTTGGGACCAAATTACTTTTTCCAACTTTTTTTTCCTAAATTAAAATGTAAAAATATATATATATATTTACAAATTTTAAATTAAAAAAAATTAGACTAATACTAAAAATTTAATTTTATTTATTTATAGACGTAAGAATTTTAAAAGTAAATATGAAATTTAAGTAACCAAACTCATATCAAATCAAAAAAATTATATCTGTAATAGAAACGTAACTAAATCTATATATGAAGAAATCGAAACGTTCTGAGTTATATTTTTCAAATTAGCACGTAATGTTTTGAATTATCACACTCTATCTATTCTATTATGACGAGATATCAAAATATAAAAACTTTACGTATAATTTGATGATCATAACCGTCTATTTATGAACAAACCATGTCTGTAAATTTTTTATATTCGTAATTTGATGCGTCGTAAAATTATAAATTATGAATTACAGATTTAGTCTCTACGCATAAAAATAAGAACATACACTTTAATTTGATGCATTAAGACTCAATATACATTTAACAGTATTATATTACCTTTAACTGAGTCTAATTAATTTAATAATTTTTTATGCACGTTAATTTATACACGATAAATTTAAAACCCAACAGTAGAGACATAAGTTAGTTAATAATTAATCCAACTTAGTCAATGTTATTTATCAACTGAATAAAATAATTATATATCAACCACTGTCAGTTAATAATATATTTATATAACGACGAGTTTTATGTTATAAGTAAAGTTTAAATATATAATTTTTTGAGTAGAATAAAAATTATTTTAATCACTAAAATATGAGTTTGATAAATTTTTTGAAATAATAATACCTAATTTAAATCTAACAAAATTTTAACTATATTATTTAAAAAGATGATGAAAAAAAAATTTGTGACCCATTAAAATTTTGTTAATATATATAGTAATATACATATATATATTATAATTTAATAAACAAACCAAGATATATATATATATATATATATATAGTCTCTATATATTTATTTTGCCATAAATATATTTAGTTAACAAGTGTTTTAGAATCAAATCCAACCACCAACTAAAAGAAAGAGAATCTAATTGAATTAGATAAAGAGAAATTTTTGTTGGGAGATATAATGAGGCTGGCAATGAGTCTGCCTCTCTTCTTACCTAAAAATGGGTTTTTTTTTTTGGTCAATCCCTATATATATATATATATATGTATGTATGTCTGTGTATGTATGTATGTCTGTGTATACATGTATGTATATATGTATGTATGTTTTTTGGTCATATCATTTCTTGTTTCAGGGAAAAAGGAGTGTAAAAAGTAGAAGTTATCAACATGTCAACCCTAGTCTAAGAGTAAAGAGTAGAAGTTACCTTTAGTATAACTAAGGTAATATAATTTGTATATATATATATATATACATATTTGATAAAATTTTAAATAAAATAAAAACATAACTTAAAAATAATTTAAATAAAATATATGCAATCATATTCAATATTCATTTATTGTATAATTCGAAATCTTTAGATGAAAGAGAAGTCAATGTGAAATTCGTGCTTCCCATTTACAGAAAGGAAGGAGGAGTCTTCTTGAATACTTTTTCCAAATCTTCATTTTTTGTTTTTCTTATAAATTCTTTGTAAGATGCTAGAAATTAAATATAGATATATATATATATTTATTTATTTATTTATTCAGCCGAATACATTATTAAATACTTGGAAAAATGCTCATAAATACCTAAAATTAAGAAGGGTAATAAAAAAAATAAATATTTAATTCTTAATTTCAGTATTTATTTCAGCTGTTTTCCATGGAAGAAGAAGAAGAAGAAGAGGAGGAGTCTTAAAACGTTTTTTTTCTGTGTTATCTTCTTCTTCTAATTCTCTATTTCCATGTGGGTATGTCAGCTAAAAGGAAAGTAATAAGAGAGAGAGAGAGAGAGAGAAGGAAGAGATAAATGAGAATGAAATGAGATGAGATACCTTTTTTCCTTCCTCAGTGTAGAGTAATCTTCAAAAACCAGCCTTTACAGCCTCACCCATTTTGAGAGATATATATATATATATATATACTTATCTGTATGTATTATTCACTGTTTGCTTTTTGTTTTTTCTTTTTGTATAACGCTTCATCAAGTTGAATTCTTCAGATTATTTTTGAAGCTGTCACTGTCTTGAGGTATACATACATATTATCTGTCTCCTCCATTTTTTTTGCCGGGTATATTCAAGTTTCTCACTATTATTTTAATTGTAATGACAGTGAAACAAGTCTTACTTTTTCTGGGTTGCTTGTCTCCTTAAGCTATTTTACCAGCCCGCATTCCCTAAACTTCTCGACGAACTTGTGATTGATGGGTGTTTTTATTTTTGCAGAGAATGAACAGATCAAATCAGAGCTCTGACAATTGGATTTCGATGAGTTTCTGAGATGGGTTTCTCACTTTCTACTCTAATCAGTTGAGGTAAACTCAAAAATCGTTTTCCCCTTGTTCAAGTTTGAGTTTTTCTTCATATTTTTCTCTATTCTAAATCAGTTTTGGGGGTTTACTTTTAGGTTGTAAGAGTGGGCAACAACTGTTTGTTAAAAAGCGCCAGAGAGTCTCATATAGGGTTGAATTGAGGTTTTTGGTGGTAAAAATGAGAGATTTCCCATCTTGTTTTGGGGAAAATGGGGTTCAAGTTGCTGATTCTTCATCATCAAATACCAGCAGGAACGCTCAGAATTTGGTTACTTGTGTCTATCAATGCCGTATCCGGGGCAGGACATGCTTGATTACAGTGACATGGAGTAAGAATTTAATGGGTCAGGGTCTGAGTGTAGGGATCGATGATTCTGCAAACCAGTGTCTTTGTAAGGTTGAGATAAAGCCTTGGTTGTTCTCTAAGAGAAAAGGGTCTAAGAGTTTAGAAGCATATTCTTGCAAAATTGACATATATTGGGACCTTTCATCAGCCAAATTCGGATCCGGGCCTGAACCACTTGAGGGGTTTTATGTGGGTGTTATTGTTGATAAGCAAATGGTTCTTCTTTTGGGGGATTTGAGAAAAGAAGCTTTCAAGAAGACAAATTCCAGTCCTGCTCCTTCCGCTGCTGTTCTTGTTGCAAAAAGAGAGCATGTCTTTGGCAAGAGGGTGTTTGTGACCAAGGCACAGTTTTGTGATAATGGGAAAATTCATGATCTCATGATTGATTGTGACACAATCAGTGTCAATGATCCGTGTCTCATCATTCGTGTGGATGGGAAGACTCTGCTGCAGGTGAAGCGGCTTCGTTGGAAGTTCCGGGGAAATCATACCATCTTGGTTGATGGACTAGCCGTAGAAGTTTTCTGGGATGTTCATAATTGGCTCTTTGGTGCATCATCATCAGTTGGAAATGCTGTTTTTATGTTTAAGACATGCCTCTCAGCTGAGAAATTGTGGGCTAGCCAATCTCTGTCCGACTCAAGTACATTGCAATGGTCTTTCTCGCAGAGATTCCTAGATAACAAGTCACAAAATCTGGGGTTCTCGCTGATTTTGTATGCTTGGAAAAACGAATAGAGAGATTCAGAAATTCTTCTTTAAGTGCTAACAGAGGCTTTTAGTGAGTGTTCATTTTACTCAACTATGTGATTTATTACAGTTAATTTTTAAAAAGAGTCAGATTGTTTTTCTCCCTAGGTTTTTCTTCCCCCCTGAGTTAAGCAATTGAATGGATGAGAGACAGTTTTGTTGTTCTTAGTCCAATGTATATCCTTAATACATTTATTTCTTTATCTTTGCCAATTATCATTAGAATTTTTATATTAAAATGCCTTTATTAATAATTCCTGCAAAAGAACTACATCCGTTTGTAGTTCATTTACTTCAGCATATCATTGTTTGCTTATTTCTTATGTTGGATTTCTTCTGATCAATTCACAAGCACAGTATGCTATCCCTATGAATATGCCTCTCTTTCAAGTCAACCAGCTGCGAAGGTGGTCTCTCACTAACGTGCCAGTTAGAAGAGGTTTGCTGATTTCCTTCTATTGCAGGTGCGTAAATATTATTTTGTTTCATGGATACTTCTAAATTATCTAAAAAAACAATTTGGTAATTTGAATAACATAAAAAAATCCATGGGTTTGGTGTGAAATCCCAATTTTTCTCCCTGTTAAGCAAGGGAGTAACCACTATGGGTTGATGTCCTTGACAGTGTTGTTTGGCTGCTCAGTGTTGGCTCATTTAAAGGTGCTGGAACTTACCACATCATTGTTTAGCACCTCAGTATCTTTAAGTTAACACAGCATTCTGGTTTCTTAGTTTTCCTCTAATTAGTGTTTGTATTTGCCATGCCCTTGAGTTCATCCTCCAAGAGTCTGGAACTTACTGTTTGTAGAGTAGTGTCAGGTGGCACAGAATATGCTCAAACAGTTCGTAAGCATGAGATGTCATTCACATATAAGATTCCAAAACATTATATGATGCAAATGCGCTAGTCTTGTCTTTCTTTTTATCCACAGAACTGTCGAATAATCTGGATGAGAAGATTAAAAAAATTGACATATGATGTGCTCTGTGCTTTAAGTTTCTCCCTTTTCAAAGATCTGCATCTTTATCCAGAATTATCTGTACTAATTATTTCAAAAATACCTGAACTAATTTAGATTGAGCTACGTCTTTATTTTTAAATCTTCAGCATAATCATGCTTATAATATTTATCTCAAAAAAAATAATAATAATAATCATGCTTGTGATCCGCTAATTGGTATAGCCACAATAAGTGAGGGATGCATAAACTGGATTATAAGAGATAAATTGCTCTAACTTATAAGTAAACCAAAATGAAAAAATTTTGAACTGCCAAGTCTTTGATTTATGGAGTTTAACATTGAACTTTGACATGAAGGCAAAGATAATCTTGTGCTCTGTCCTAAAGGTTTGTCCCTTGCAAAGATTTATAACTTTATTACCGATCAATTTTTGCTAGCTTAGATTGAGCAACTTTAGCCTAATCATTCTTGTGATCTGCTAATTGGTGAAGCAGCAATTTTCAGGTATTTATAAAATGGATTAGAGGATAAAATTGCTCTAACTTGAAGTATACCAAAAGAAATCTCCAAGATCATTTTGAGATGCAAATCCCCTGAACTGTGGACTATAACATAAATAATTATGACAAAAAGGCAGGGGATGTTCTTGTCAAAACATTGAGTGTGGAAATACATTAGTAATAGGTGATAATCTGGTATCTGCTCTGTAAAATTCTGGAATTTCTGGATGCTTTACTGTATGTATAACCTCCTTTAGTGCTGTGTTTCCAAGCTGCCAGAGTTAACGGCATCATGCTTGGTGTCTCATGCTTCGACTTGCAGACGCTTTTAGCTTGAGGTGAAATTCATGTTTTTTGTATTTTCCCCCATTAGTACATGCAGAAATTGTGTCTTTTTAACATCTTCATTAGTTTTTCATCGGGTCGGAGTCACCTGCAAACTACGATCTGTCTATTTTTATTTTGGTTATTACTGAATTACTTCCAAGTAAAGTACTTGGATACAATTTCATGAAACAGACTTCGCATGCTAGTCCTCTTAAATTTGAGAACTTCTTTCCCCATCCTATGGAACTAAACTGCTTTGCATTTTATTTGGGAATCATGTCTATTGGATCAGATACGTAACATCCCATTTATTTGGAGTTGAGCCGTTGGTCTATCACTGGAAACTATCAATGTTAGATTGTGCATTTGAGAATTTAAGCGTCAAAGCAATAATTATCTTTTGAACGGTGCTCGCTCTAACTCCGCTAAGGTGTGTCCCTTGTGATGATTGTTGAGGTTGTCATAAACGTTTTTGGGCTTGTCTTTTTTAAAATGGAACAAGCTTAAATTGGACAGGTTTGGATAATACAAATTTCCTGTGGCGTGGAGAGGAAATCCAGTTTCTGTTTATTGTCAAAGATCACCCTTTATCTGCAGTCATGGATCGAAGGCCATGGAGGTAAAATATCATCCTCTTCCTGGAAATATAGGTACTGTCATATTCAGTTTCATTTTTCTTTCTGTGTGCTTTGTTTTGTTAGCTTGCAAGTATGTAAGTCCTTAGCTGAAAGATCAATGGTGACGGATTCCTACAATATGAGAGTCAGCATCTTCGAGGAAAGACTTTTGGATTGTTTGCTCTAAATAGTTGGTCGACTCCTTTTTCTATGACCTTAGGTTCTTCGATACATACTTGTTGTCTACGAATAGCATATTATTTCAGTTTTCGTCTTTAAGAGTTAATGTGTTTAACGGTATATTCTTTGTGGTGTTATTTGGCATGCCATTCTACTGCCTGAACCTTCCCTGTCCAATCTGAAACTTCTCAGAACAAAAGCCAGGAATATCGGATATTTCTAGCTGATCCTATACACAGTATATTCTACTGTGTGCTTCATTATTTACTTCTCTCTCTTGCTTTACCTCTGATTCGGAGGGATTCAAAACTTTGATTATCAAGAGAAAGACATGGATGCTCACCATCCCTCCCCTCCATTTTCTTCACTATTACTTCTTATCCAAACAAACGAAAGGAGGGTGGACATCCCTTGATTGTTTTTCCTTTACTCTGCCTCCCTTAACCCAAACATAGTGTTGAACTTTTTGTATAGGCGATTCATCCCCTCGATTACATAGCTACTGTAGATAGTTGGGGAAGGATGTAAAGACAATTTTGTAAAATCATACCGAAACATTCTTAGCTCGTGAACCGCAATCACAATGTTGGACAACTACCTTTCAAGTTCTTGTGCTTGAACCTTTGCTATTCTCGTAACTCCCTTGCTAGCCCCCTTTCACCATCCAAGTGATTTCATGAACTCACTATAAAGACACATTTATGATGAGTTGATTCCCTGGTAAAAAGATTGATGATAGAGTACGAATCGGGAATCGTCACTTGACTCCCACACGCCAACCACGAGCATTTTGTAATTTTTGTTCGACCAGTTTGCCTTTTCAGTTTGATCGCCTCTAGACTAGTTCTTGAGGTGTTCGGGTGTATTTTACTTTTTGAGATTCGTTTCGATAAATTAATTTACACATTATATGTCTACTTTGTCGACCAGTTTGCCTTTTCAGTTTGATCGCCTCTAGACTAGTTCTTAAGGTCTTGTGGTGTATTTCACTTTTTGAAATTCGTTTCGATAAATTAATTTACACATTATATGTCTACTTTTTTTTTGAAAGATTTCGAATTCGGGCAAGCGAATGCATTAGTGCTGATAGTGGTATGAAATCTTTTAAGAAAGGTCTTATAGTCAAGACATTATATATAATTTATCCAACCTTTCTCCTTCGGTTATGGATAGTATTGACTTTCAAAAATATGTGTAAAGAAAATTTATTTAAAATTATAAAATTTTTTATTCTAAATTTTTATCTCATTTACATTATATTTTTGTATATATATATATATATATATATTTTTTTTTTTTTTTTTCTGAGTGGCCACCTTAATTATTCTGGATTAACATAAACACGTGTTTTATATATATATGCGATACATGATTGATTTGTTTTTTCATATATGTCTTAGCATAATGTTAAATGATATATCTTACATTTATATGTACATCTTTCCCCTTTAATCAATGAAAGTGTATACATTTACATGCATATATATATGTGTGTGTGTGTGTGTGTGTATGCATACATTAAATAACAGTTTATACATATATATATATATATAATATGTCTTAGGTGTATTTATGGTTGGGCATGCACGTGTTACACAACTATACAAATAAAAAAAGATATCACGTGTAATTTATTATAAGACCCATACTTGCTACACGTGCATATTACAAAAAAAAAAAAAAAAAAAATCTATAGCCTATAATATTGTAAACTAGTTTGACAAAAATTAATTTATGTTCAACATTAATGATATATATATATATATACATACATACATACACACATCATAAATGATATCATCACATAGTAAGATACGTATAAGAATTTTTTTAGTTATTTATTTAATAATATATACATTAATTATAAATTAACATCTTAAATAATATATATAAGAATACATACTCTTACTTAAAACACATAATTTATTATAAATAAACAAAAATATCAATACAATAATTCGATCGGATGCACGGGATTGAAATACGAAACAAATTTTTAATAGGTCCGAATATGTGTTCTGATTCAAACACGACTTTATAGAAGAACATAAAAAAATTTAAAATTTAACTTAATATATATAAGTATAAATTTTTTTTTAATTATTTATTTAATAATATATACACTAATTGTCTTAAATAATATATATAAAAATACATAATCTCGCTTAAACACATAATTTATTAAAAATAAACAAAAATATTAATACAATAATTCGAATGAATGCACGGGATTGAAATATGAAACAAGTTTTTTTGTAGGTCCGAATATGTATTCTAATTCAAACACGACTCTTATAGAAGAACGAATGTATAAATAATTTGGTCAAAAAAATAGTCAAGTAATAAAAAAATTTAAAATTTAACTTGATATATTATATATATATATATAGACGTATAAGTACAATCAATTTATTTTAAATATTTGTTAAAAAATATAAAAATAACATTTAAAAAATACCAATTAAATTTATAAAGTATCCCAATATAGTTATAATCTTAAAGTATGTAATAATTTATATATATGTATATATATTATAAAAAATTATTATATAACATGAGAAATATAAATATGGGCAGCAGACATCTTTTTTCAAGGTCGGTCCACCAATCATAAATTAGGCAGTGATCGCATTATCTTTTTTTAAAAAATAAAATAAACGAAAAAGGATTTCTTCGGCATGATTCACGAATCGCGTTTGGTTCGTGAAACACTCCCGTGATTGCCGTTTTGCCAAAAACAAAAAAAAAAAAGGGAAAGCAAATAAAACGACGCGTTTTGAGTTTTTTTTTTTTTTAAGGTTGGAGTACGAGAGAGATCATAGGGTGTATGGTAGAGCACAGTAATGTAATGAGGCTCTCCGTACCATCAAATCAAAAGGACCAAAAAAAAGAAAAAAAAAAGAAAAACACATTCTTTGGATTTTAGTCACCATTTCTCGAATTTTTATGAGCATTTCATGATTGTCTTCTTATTTCTTTTCTTATTTCTTTTTTTTTTAATTTCAAAATTCTTAACTCAATAATTAGTAAAAAAAAAAAGAACAATACAAGATTTAACGTGATTCGACAGTATATTTATATTCATGAATAAAATCGACAACAAAATTTTCTATTATAATAAAAAAATAAAATATATCACTAATAAACTTATATTTAAAAAAATTAGAAAAATTTTACTTCTATAAAATTTTTAAAACTGTTAGAAAATTATGACTAATTTTGATGCAGAAATAATATGACAAAATATTTATTTTTCTGACCACGATATTTAATTATTTATGCTCTTAACTGTCTTTGTTTTTTCCCGAATGCTACTAGAATTTCAGATAATCTTAACATTTTAAAACTCAAATTTATATATAGTTTAATTAAACGTGAGAGAGAGAGAGAATAGTAATATGTATTTTCTATGTGTTATCTGCTTCTTTATTTTTAGTAAAAATAATTTTTTATATCTTATATGTTCATTAAGAATCGTATCTTTTTACAAGATTTAACGTGATTATTTATACTTATATTCATAAATAAAATCGACAACAAAATTTTTTATTATAATAAAAAAAATAGAATATATCACTAATAAATTAATAAACCTATATATAAAGAAATTATGAAGGTTTTATTTATATAAAACTTTTTCGTATATACCTTAAATATTTTTTAAAATTATTAAAAAATTATGACTAACTTTAATGCAGAAACAATATGATAAAATATTTATTTTTCTGCCCACGATATTTAATTATTGATGCTCTTGACTGTCTTTGTTTTCTTCCGAATACTACTAGAATTTTGAATAATCTTAATATTTTAAAACTCAAATATATCTATAATTTAACTCAACGTGAGAGAGAGAGTAGTAATATGTATTTTCTGAGTGTTATTTACTTATTTATTTTTAATAAATGTAATTTTTTTTCTCTTATATGCTCCTTAAGAATCGTATCTTTTTACAAACAAGTTTTTCATTTATAAATTCACAGGTAGAGTTGTATCTTTTTACAAAAAGTATTGTGCCGGTGTTACTAATTTTATGCAATATGAATAATAAAAATAAAAATACCCAATTTAAATTTATGTTTAGTTGATGTGCATGATGAAAATATTTGGTCAAAAAAACAAAAGCATTATTACCAAAGGGAAAAATAAATAATTATGATTAAAAATATTGATCACGGTCAGCAGAGGGCAGGGCAGGGAGGCCAGGGAGCATGGGCATCGATGTGCTGGCGCACTATGATAGATTAACTCTTGGTGGGCCCATTCTCTTTTTCGGCTTCCAGGTGGCATACAGCTGTAATGATGCCGCTAGAAGATTACAACTCAGCCCTTGATACGGCGGCGTTTCATGACCCGCTGTAGATTGCAATTGTCCTTTTTATGGTATTGTGAGATTACGATTTTACCCCCCGTTTGACCGTTTTAGTGAACTTCACCGGTCACTTGCCTGTGCTAGAAACCGACTAAAAGACAAATAGTCAAAGTGTTGACTGGAGGATAAAACAATCATTTCCCACAAATATGTAGAGCTGACGGTGTAATTATCCGTCACTTCGGAGGGTGTTTTCGTCTTTTGGGTTTTACAGTTAAATTAAAATTAAACAAGCGTAGGGAAAGCGAAGGAGGAAGAAGAAGAAGAAGAAGAAGAAGAAGAAGAAGAAGAAGTAGTAGTGGAGAATCGCCATTCTGAAGACTCAGTGAGTTGCGAACTCGCTATTGTAGCTTCTTCTGCAGTATTGATTGGAAAGGACTGAGTGATGGATGAGTCTAGTGACTCGTTTTCGATTGATATTGACATTGTTCCATTCGGAGGGAAGGTAAATAATTAACAATACCCAAAATAATCAGTCTGTTTTTCTTTTTTCTTCCTCTTTGAATCCAAATGTTGTCCCTTTATGAACTATATTACGTGATTCATATATTTTTATTATCTATTATTCATGGGTTTTTCTTTTTATGGCTGTCTCTTATAGGAATTTGTGGTGAAAACAAGCAGAGGTTCAATATCGGTTTTTGTTTCTGGTGACCAAGAGAAGCCTGCACTTATAACATATCCAGATGTGGCTCTCAATTGTATGTTTCATTTGATGCTGTGATTTTACTTGATGATGCTTTTTCATTTTTTTTTTTTGATAGCTTAAATGGGTTTTCGGGTATGTATATAATCTGTTGAAATTGAATGGGTTTTAAGCTTATGATTGCTCTTTGAGTTCAGATTCAGAAATCGGTGGTGGAGTATTTAGAGTTGATGGAAAATTAAGTGGGTTCTTGTGTTGTTTTGATAATTGTTTGATTCATATTGGCTGAGATGATTTTGTTCATCATGTTCTGTTAAAAACGGTTTGGGTTTTACTATTTGATGGGTATGTTTTGTATTTTTCTTACATGCTCCAATTATGGTGAAAATGGATTAAACTTTTTGTTCTTCTTAGCTATTGCCTTCTAGTCTCCTCAAATTTATTGCAATTTGGATCGGTTTATTGAACTTGGTGTTGCTTTCTTCTTGCTTGGTTTCTGTAGACACATCTTGTTTCCAAGGTCTATTCTTCTGTCCCGAGGCAGCTACTTTGTTGCTTCCTAACTTCTGCATTTACCACATCGATGCCCCAGGGCACGAGGTCAGTATTGTAATCAAATATTCGAAGAATAAACTCTGGGTTGGGTTAAATTTTGGTTGTTTTGGTGCTAATATAAAGTCTCCCTCTCCACCATTTGCTTAAGAGTTCTTGCAGTTAGGAGCTGATGTGATTTCTTCAGATGCTCCATTGCTCAGCGTGGATGACCTCGCAGACCAAGTTGCCGAAGTTCTTGATTTCTTCGGGTAAGTAAATGCTTATCTACTTCATCCTTAATAGTTATTGCTTTTAGGCATGGATGGGTAAAATTTTCAGTTTCAATTAACAGTCACAAATATATGATGATAATTACTAAGTTAACTGACTTGTGGCTTTGGCTCATTATGGATTCGATGAATCTCTTTTTGGGTTTCATTCACTCTGTCTGTTTCCATGGTTTGAGTTGACGTTGAATACTTCCATTCTGATGTTTCTTCTATTCAGTATGTAACTTTTTTGGCTCCTCTATAACCTTGTTTTCCATTTTTGTATTCTATGGAAAATACTTGGTTTTCAGTTGATACTGTCATAAACATAAGGTGAATCCTTGGTTTTAAATTGATTTTCTCATGAACTTCATATTAGTATTGAATGATCTTTTAAGAATTTCTCCAAAGAGAAATTACATAGATAAAATATGCGCGGCACTTTATATGGCAGTCTGGGTATTTATGTTTCTGTTGCAGAAGTTGGATGAATATATTAGCCAGTGAATTTTCCAGGTCCGATAGAGTTCCTAATGCTATCTTACTGATTATACAAACAATAATTTAGAATGTCAAGAACTTCTGAAGTAACTTGTGAGCACGGATCTCTGTTGTAAACATGTATGCATGACTCTACAAGTACTATTTTATAGATTAGCATCTTGATATTGATTAAAAACATGCTAAGAAAGCAACTGAGGACAAAGCTTATATTGCTGAAATTTTAGGAGAATGATGTGTAGATATGTCATTTTATTGGAGAAATACATTACTACCTTATTTGTGGCAGATTCTGTAAATTAGAACTATGAAAGGACGAACAAGCGTCTATATTTGCTTTGCATCAAATTTTGTTGTTCATGTTTATTTTCAGCGTGAAGCAAGATATCCCTTTTCTTATTACATAAATATTTTTCCAAGTTCTAACCAAGTTTTTTGAACTCAGACTGAAAAAAGGTTCTATGCTTGGGGGTAACTGCTGGTGCTTACATCCTTACACTCTTTGCAGTAAAGTTGGAGAAGGCCTGCAGTCGTTTGTATTTTTACTTCTTTTTCTGATTTCAAGTGGTGTAATTTACGTTATGCTCTGTCGCAGATGAAACATAAAGAGCGCGTGCTTGGGTTGATTCTCGTTTCCCCTATTTGCAAAGCGCCTTCATGGACTGAATGGCTTTACAACAAGGTTTCTATCTCAAGTAAACACCAGTAGTTAATGGGAAAAATTAATCAAATGGTCCATTTTAAGCAAGAAAATTTTTTATCTTCTGGTTTTCTTGATTACACACTTCTGTCTTACGGCAAACAAAGAGTAACTACTTTTTGTCAATGAACTAAAACGAAATCTGGTTTGCCAATAGTGGATTTTGTATGTTTCTTTCAAAGAAGAGTCCATATTAGTTCCTTCCTACATGGATTTGCTTAACAAGAGACATGTCTCATTTATATGATACCTTTATCATTTCAGGTCCTGATGAACTTGCTATACTTCTATGGTATGTGTGGCGTATTAAAAGAATGCCTTCTCCAACGGTACTTCAGTAAGGTACTATCTTCACTTTCTTTTCCGTAATCTTTTTCAAAAAAAAAAAACATTGTCGAAGTATTTCGAAGTCATAATTCTTGATGTTTTTGTGTTCTTTTCTTCCTCAGGAACTTAGGTGTGGCGCACATGGTTCAGAATCGGATGTTATTCAAGCTTGTCGAAGGGTAGGAAACTCTTGGAGTATAATTTATATGATTATGTAATATAACAAAATTTAAAAAGCATTTGGTTGCTTGCCTTGCCTGCAGCTGCTGGATGAAAGGCAGAGTTTGAATGTCATGCGATTTCTTCAAGCGATCAACGAGTAAGATAATTACCATTTAAGACTACCATTTAGCAGAACATGTATATATATATGTCCAACAATAAGTATATTTTAAGGCACAAAACGAAAACTTGATAAAGTTGCTGCATATTTATTTACAGGAGACATGATCTTACTGATGGCCTGAAGAAGTTGCAATGTAAAACACTTATTTTTGTGGGTGAAAGTAGTCCATTCCATGTTGAATCTGTATATATGAGCTCAAAGATGGGCAGAAAGCGTTGTGCTCTTGTCGAGGTAGGATACTACTGCTTGTTTGTCATTTTTGGTTCCGACATTTTCAAAGGAAAATCATATTCCTAAATCTTTTAGTAGAGAAACTCGTAATTTCAAAGTTTTAAAATTTAGAATTTTGGATTTAATATTCTCAATTCTATTTTTCTCCCATGAAAGTTGGATTTTGATCACATATTGGAGACGAATGACTATTATTTTGATAAGCTAATGACTTTATTCTTTTGGCTTAATGGGAATAAATCAAAAGCACAAGAAACCATAACTAGTATTAAGATACTTGCCTTTCGACTTGCAGGTTCAGGCATGTGGTTCACTGGTAACAGAAGAGCACCCGTTGGCCATGATTATTCCAATTGAATTCTTTTTAATGGGATTCGGGTATTACAGACAACCAAATTTTGCTTCCTCATCGAGTAATGGTTCAAACCCTGCCAGTCCCTTGAGCCATTCTTGCATAGCACCCGAGCTTCTATCTCCAGAAAGTCTGGGAATCAAACTCAAACCTATTAAAACCCGCGTGGAAGTTGAACTTTAACGTATGTGGGTTACTCTGATTCCATTAGTTTCGGTCGTATCTCGGATAAGTCAATAGGGAAAAAAAAAAAAAAAATAGATTCCATGTGCGGAAGAACATTAAGGCTGTTGTCCTTACACATTTAACATTGTTGAAATTCCTGTATAATAACGTCCACAGTGTAGCATATTCTTTGATTTATGTTGGTGGGAGGAGGATAGTCATTAGGGTTTTGTTTCAATGTATCCATTTTTTACTGTAGATAAAAATGATACATTCACATTCTTTTAGTCGAAAGCTTTGACTTCTTATTATATTTGAAGTGTTTGGTAATCTTCTGCAGATCAATCGCATGCATCAAACATTCTTGTTTCATTCATTCTTCAAAAAACACATCCAGAATATAGATTTAGTAAAAATTTGTGTTTCAGAGATATATAAATATATATGTATATAATGTCCGATTCCTAGTTGTATATATATATATATATATATATATACGTTTTAATCATATAAGTTCATATACAAATCCTACACAGAATGCAGAATTCCTCCTCGGATTTAAAAAGCCAACAAGTTCGAATCCTACAGGAATTACGATTGACCTCTGTATTTATATATCTTCACACATGCATACACACATTATATCATTTAAGGCTCTGCATCTCTCTCTCGCTCGCTCTCTCTCTCTCTCTTAAGCTTCGTCTATCTAGTGTGATCGTAAATCAAGAATTACATACGCATATACACACATACATATATATTCAGTGATGTTTAAGATTAAATTTATTATCTACAGTAACAACAAACGAAATTACTGTAAAAAAATTCTTCGTGTGACAACGAAACCGAGGAGCAAAAGACAAAATATAATAGTTAAGAAACGCAAGAGAAGCCGTCTCTACGCCTGCATGATCAAGAAGTTGAACATCACTCCTGCAAGACTTGACGAGATGATTGCAAGACTCAAGTATACTCGAGATTACTCGTTCTTATTATCGGATTAAGTTTTAAGATATTTAGTTTATATGTATCATGTTATTTGAAGGCTGTGATTAATGTTTTATGAAAATTTCGTTAGAGAAATGTGTATATATATAGATATGTAAGTATGTATCATAGTTGTTCCTATCAGTTTACAAAATTTAAAAATACTTCAATTACAAATTAAATTTTACTTGAAAATTTGTTTCATAATTTGAAATAATTGTAAAATTTGAAAATAAATTATATAATTTATTTCAAACAATATTAATTCATAATTTGTTTGGCTGATTTTATAATCTTTATTTCTCTTAATTTCTAATTCTTCTTGATCTAAACATTTCCATATTAATAGAAAATTTTATTTCTTATGTTCTTCAATAGAGGGTAGGATATATATTGTTGAACAAGATATAATTTCAATACGAATACACATATATGTTATATATATATATATATATTACTAAATGTGTTTTAAAAAATATCACACACAAAATAATTAAAACCCACAATTTTATAAAGATAAAAAGAAATACTAATAATTTAAATAAAGATTGATTCATAAACATAATACATATATATATATATATGTATTATACATTAGTGGAACCATCTAGTCCACATTATTTATTTATTATTATATAACATGCAAATCCACTAATTTGCATTGTTTATTTATTTATTATTATTTAGTATGCGAAGTTATATGTAATCCGCATTATTTATTTATTTATTTATTTTTATTTAGACCATATAAGCTCCCAAATACGACGTCGTAGTGTCACAGTTTCTCTTCTGTGGTCTCGTGCTTAAAGTTGAAGCAATTGATACCTGTGTAAATCCCGTCATGCAGGTAGCGGGTGACGTGCATCCCGTTCATCAGAGTGTCTCGCTGAGTATATGAAAATGGAACGTCGCAGGTACCTTTCGTCGCCAGCACGCTGATCGTCATTTTGGTATGCGGCGGCACGGTAACTTTATAAACAGTCTCAATCTCTTTCGATTCTTCTCTTGTGTTCCCCCACTGGTATGACCCTTCAAACTCCGCCGAGATCTGAATCTCGCCTTCCATTATAAATGGGATTCCAGTCTTAAAGGTGGTTTGAACACCAAGTTTCAGCGAAACGCTGGCGTTCCATGTACTGCTCGTGGATTCTGTGTAACTCAACTTCACTTCAGCTTCATTGGGTTGACTTGATCTGTTCACTACAGATTCCCTCGTCATGCTAATGGGTTTCTCGTCATAGATCCGAGCATCGAGAAGACGAAAGTTTACGTTAAAGATCTGCCGGGAAACCACCAGTTCAACAACTTCAAGTCGCGCCTCTCTAGCAATCGTCGGAACGGTAGCGTTTAGGCAACTCGTCATGCGCTCAGCCGTGAATCGCTTGCAGAAATAGTTATTACCCAAGTTCTTAAGCGCGACGACGTTGGTATCAACTTTGACAGGCCAGAAAAGAGTGTCTTTACTCTTATCATCATCCGCCGCATCGCCTAATACCCAGTTGGATCCGCGCCGAGCCAAGAATTTACCAAAGTAGTCAGATTTGATGCGGATGGACCCATCATTAGTTGTAAAGATTTCGTATCCAACCGAGGGATTTCCCACATCGTCTATGGCGAATTCGTTATGTGGTTTTCCATTGATCCATCGAGCACTGAGAAGCAAATCATTGTCACCTTTGAAGGCAACATGTTTAGGAAATATCAGAAACGATTCCCAGTCGAAAACTGCAAGTTTAGTTACAGAGTATTGATCTGGTTCTTTGGCTCCGGCGAACAAGCATCTGTTATGGTATGTGTTGGTAAACCATAAAGCACAGTATTGATTAAGTTGAACGTGTAACAATCTCACGTTCTCAAGATTACCACCAATGATGGTGGGTTTGAACAAAGTGCAGTTCCATTTTGAGACGTCTTCCTCCGGCTGATCAGCTGCACAAACAATCCAATAATTTTTATCAGTCCATCTTACCCAGTATTTGTTATTGTAACAGCATTTTATATGCACTAATCCTTTCACAGTCTTGGCCGGCTCAACCTCGAACTTTACATATGGATTCACGGCTTCTTCTCCGGTGAACTGGAGAAGACTATGAACCTGTACATCTTCGTGGATGTATCGGAGATACTTATTGTTTTTTGGTGATTTGATCACGATGTACCTCGGCAAATCCATTTTGTTTAGTTTTTTTTCTTCTTGGCAATCACTTGCTCGCTTCTGGTTTCCACAACTAAAGATTTGCCATGTATTTATAGGCGTAAGGATAAGCTTAGAACCTCGATATGTGTTTATAAATATGTATATATATATATATATGTGAATGCAAAAGATGTGGTGATTAATCAAATGTTCACTGCATGATTTTTCGAACCTGGTAAACCACGTTTTGGAGTTTTATATTATTTTTAATATGCATTTTTTTTTCTTTTTTAAACATTTTCTTTCAAAAGATATATCCACGTGCATATATATATATATATATTAAGTAATGCTGATTATATGAACATGGAATAAAGATCAATAGGTCTTTGTATAATATACATACATATATATATATATATATTACAATTGCATAATATATATACATATATTTGTAGACTTAGAAAGACTTCAAGTGACGTGATATATATCAAGTAATACTGATTGTACAAATATATATATTAATAAAAATTAGTGTTGTGTTTCAGCGATACATTATACATATCTATACATCAATGCATACATAATGCCTGATTCCTAGTTATATATATATAATATTTGTTTCTTTTTTTAAAAGTTTATATAAAGTATATGTCAATCCTTATCCAATCGAGAATTTCTACTTACATTTAAAAACTAAAACTAACACGTTCTAAATTCTACACGAATTACGTTTCATCTCTGGATATATATATATATATTAGTTTCAGACCATCATCGGATATATTTATATATTAGTTCCAGCCCATCCCGTAAAAAGAAGTTAAAGTAGGAGAAAACGTACAACTGAAAAAGACAAACCTCTGATTTCTTGCGGATTTTCAGCCCTGGGATGAAGATCAGATCACAGGATTTCAGCGGGAAAGAGATGAAACTGCGTTTCATGGTTCATGGCTCATGGAGAATATATATATATATATATATATGTATATATATTCATGGAGAAAAAAAGGAGAAGTGAAGAAAGTAGAAAGCAAAAAAGAGAGAGAGAGAGAGAGAGAGAGAGGCTGTGTGTCCATGAAACACATGTATAAGTAAGCTATAATAGTTTCTATCGTCAACTTAAGCTTTAAGACTCTCTCTTTATCTCTCTCTTAAGCTTGCTCTGGATATATCTTTCTCTCCCCACATAATTTTTTTTTTTTCCGGTGATCGTCAATTAAGAATTATATATATATATATATATATTTGTTTAAGCATGTGTATTAGTTTCTGAATTCTAAATAACATTATATTTTGATTACAAATAATCAATTTTCAGGTTTCCTCCATAACTCTCTGAGTCTTTCTTCGACTGATTCCATAGTCTTTTCCTCTTGATTTCTAATTCTTCTCGATCTCTACATCTACACATCAATGGAAAATCTTGCTTCTTAAAAATGGCAAATTCCTCATTGGCTTATAGTAAGAATAAGTAATCTTAAATGTACTTAAAATCCTGTAATATTTTAGTAAAGTCTTTTAGGATTCATACTTAAAATTTTTCGATTATGTGGGTATAAGTTTCTCGAGTATTACATTTTGTTCTTTGCTTCAAGATTTGGTGGATACACAAAAAATCTTCCTACACTACTTTCATTTACATATTGTTGATACAAATAAATAATTCAATATTCAATATAATCAAAATACGTATGTTATATTAATATTATACACATCCGCACTAATATCAATACAACCAATTTCTTAAAAATAAAATATATATCACATACAAATCAACTAAAAATTCACGATTTTATAATAATAAGCAGAAATACTAATCTTTCAGATGAAAAGTAATACATTACATATAAATAGAATTATTTAGTCCGCCTTATTTATTTATTTACTATGAACCCATTTAGTCCGTATGATTTATTTATTTTCACTTAACTCATATAAACTCTTCAATACGACATTGTAGTATTGCAGTTTTTCTTCTTTCGTTTTGTACTTAGAGTTGAAGCAATTGATACCTGTGTATATTCCGTAATGCAAGTAGCGGGTGACTTGCATCTAAGTAGTGGTAACTGACTATTCATATTGAAACTATATCTTTTTCAACAATATAAATCATAGTCTCTATTTATAGATCATCAAATATTATTAAAAAAATACTACTTAATTTTTAAAATATATAAATTATTATTAAGAAAATAAACAGAAAAATTGAAAAACTAATATACATATACATCTAGTTTGCATTATTTATTTATTTATTAATATTTAGTATGCGGAGTCATCCAGTCCGCACTATTTATTTATTTATTTTTACTTAGATTATATAAACTCCTGAATACGACATAGATATAGTAATATCACAACTTCTGTTCGTCTAGTATTTAAAATTGAAGCAATTGATACTTGTGTAAATTCTGTCATGCAAGTTCATCAGAGTATTCCATTAAGAATATGAAAATGGAAGTTGATCGTCGTTTATATATTACACACTAATTAAGAATTGAAAATTGAACTTTTACCTTTTTTTAAGGTTAGAAAAATAGTAGTTAGTTAAAAGATGATGTATTTTCCTTTTGTTTGAAGCTAATTAAATGATGTTAAGATTGAGAGATTAATTGGGAACGTATAATTTATCTTAAAATAAATGTTCGATACAATGATATATATATATATATATATTTTTTTTAGAATAGTAAAATGGTATATTTACATACATATATATATATGTGTGTGTGTTTATGGCAAATATGAACATGGAATAAAATCCAATAGGTCTTGATTCGATAATATAATTATTTTCCACTGCACCTCCCGAAAGTTTTCTTCTTTTTCAGACAAGACAATTGCGTGGATAAATATTATATGTGTGTGTGTATTGACGCTTTTGTAATGTTGTGTTTGCCATTTTACTGGGTCGATCTGTTTGAAGTATCCCATGTCAGTCCAAGATACATAAATACATACATTTACTACAACATTTATTATCCAATAAAGACAAGTAATTCATCACTAAACATGTGTGTGTGCCTGTGTATATGTATATCTATACATATACATGAAAGTACCTACTCTAAAGAAATATATGTATTGTAACGATTCCGAAAATATTCAAAAGAAATAAATGATAATTAAAGTACGCAAACGAAATAAATATTCAAGATTTACATTCCTTACACACATAATTTAAAATACCGAATAGTACTACGAGAATTATCATTTTAAAAGAAATATAA